ATAAAAAAATTAATGGAGCAATGATCGAGCTCGAGTTTCGAAAGCGCGATAAACATTACAATCATTTTGATATTTTATATAAATCTAATTACACAAATAAAACTTTTCGACTTCCAACACATATTAACGAATTCTTTTACTTATAAACATAATCGCGCGTTTAGGCTTTTGAGCTACTCAAACTTCGAAAGAATTGAGCTCAAATTTTTTTCTCTCACGGATAGTGTAAAGTGAAGACGAGAGAAGATAATTATTCAAGTAAAAGTCGAGCTTAAACAGTAATTCACAATTAGCGCGAATCTTTTATCGTTTAGTACAAATTATTTCTTTCATTTTCTTATAAAAAAAAAGTTATGGGACAATTAGGCTGCGCATGGAAACCATTCTGTACCCAGGAACAGATTCTGTTCAGAAATGATTCTTTTTTATTCTGTACTCGGAAACAATTACTAGGCATTTGAAGGTATTTGGTAACTGCCCAAAATTTCTATTCTTAGAATAGAAAAAGAACATAAATGCGTTTGGTAACTACACAAAATTTCATTTTATTAATAATATTTTAATAATATTTTGATTTTTTAAATATTTCTTTCTTTTTTTTCTTTTTTTTTTCTTTCTTTCCCTTCCCTTCCTTGGCCATGGCCGGCGAGGGCATCGCGGCCCTCGCCGCCGGCCTCGCCGGTCGCGACAGCGAGGTCGGCCTCGCCCAGGCGGCTAGGGGGACCCTCGCCGGCTACCGACGAGGACCATCGAGGGCATTGCCGGCCCTGGCCTGTGGCCGATCGCCACAGCTGGCGGTCGGCGGCGGTGGCCGGTGGGTGGCGAGCGGCAGGCTGAAGAACAAAAAAATAAAATTAAGAAGAATCATAAATGGAAAAATTGTTCCATAATCAAGAAGCTACTTTTTTTTGCTTCTCGATTCTGTTCAAAAACTGATTCTGGGAATAACTTTTCGCAAAATTGTGTCCGGGCACAAAAAATTTAACAAATGGATTTCTTTTCTCAAACTGATTCTGTGAACAAAAAACATAAATTTTCACTATTTGGCAACGTTGCCAAATAGGCCCTTAGCTGGTCGTACCTGCTCCCAAGATAAGTCCCACACGGCTTCCTCGGTTCTACCTAAGTTTGCCCTCGACGCGAAGACATGTTGTTTGCCAGTTGTCCAAAGTCATTATTAAGAGTCGAGGTGGATTCCTGCGAAGATCCGTGCTGGATTTCCACCCAAATTTAAAACAACTCCACTTGTCCGGAAGCAAACATGAATCTTTCTTTCTCGTGATACTTACGCACTTGTTTCTTGTTAACACAAAAAAAATGACCATCTCTTTATTATTAACTGGTAGTGAGCTCGGTCGACAAAAGTAAAGTTTGGTCAAATTAGAATTTATCAGTGAACAAGAACAATCGGCAAATTACAAACTTGTCGACCGTAGAGGAAATCGACAAACTATAGTGTGGGAAGTTGACGATAAGAGCCTTAATTAGAACTTGAGAAAAATTGATGGAAGCGATCCCGGATTTTGATTAAGTGTTGAGGCAGCACAATTAATGAACATAATGATTAACTACCAATAGTCGAAGATAGAGATGGTGGAATGACACGAGCACGTAACTATTGAGTGATTACGCTGGTATTCTTGGGAGCTGCAATTTCTTGTAGATAGTAGTCATTACTAAGTAATAGGAGATCTTGTCAAGAGCTTGTGACTGCTTATTAACAATTGCAAATAGGATTAAGAGGTTATTTATGAATTCACAATCTGAAAATGTTTGTCATGCATGCTATTAGTAAGATATGAAAAGCCCATGCTATAATCTTTGGGAAAAAACACACACACACACAATCAATGACAGCACAATTTATGCATTTTTATCTTTAATGTCTTCTTAAATTTACATTTCCAGTAAAAGTTTCAAGTACCATTAACATTCTTGCAACCTTTCATTTACTTCTTGTTCAAAAAAAAAAAAAAACCTTTCGTATACTGTACATGCACTTTAAATTCCTTTAATTTCCAACCATTAACTTTTCCGTCCAAAACCACCAAAAGCCATTTCATAACAATTCAATTCGGTTTATCATATTTTAAATGATATTCCCCCTTTTTTTTAGCGAAACACACATACACAGATATATATGTACATTCTATTTTATAAAACAAATAGAGTCTCCTATTTTTAGGGTATTACACCTTGATCGGTTATTTTGTAAATATTCTATTAATAAACAAAAGCGTTCATGAATAATTCCCTTTCATTTCTCATGTATTTCAATTCTTCAAATTTTAATATTTTTTAACTCATGAGTAATCTTGTAGAAGAAAGCTCTTTTTTATTTTTTTGGTCGAAGAAGAAAGTTCAAATCTTAATTTATTTTTCTCTTTCCACGTATATATGTACAATTTCCTTATATCGGATCAACGGTTTATATCTACAATTAATGATTCGAATGTTTCGTAACAACGCGATTTTGTACGATCTGTTAAACGTTAGGCCCGATCTTCGAGCCCGTCGAATGATCATCTCTAATGGAGGTGCCTCCAGTTCCAAACACCTCAATCTCGTGCTGCCGGGCATTTCTTCTCAGGCACGGGCCAAAGTCCCTGTTGATGGACCTCAGTCTATTCCATTAGTGGCCTGGACGCACAGGTACATGGATCTGTCTGAGGTTATGGCTTTTGGACATTTAATGGGCATGAAATCTTACCCGAGGCCCTATTTTTGCTATACCAAGATGGTTCACATCATAACCAAATTATATAGAAATATATCTTGTACAAACCCCACGAAGAATTACCAATAAAAAATGGAGTATTGTTAGATCAATCGCTGACGTCATATTAAAAACTTACAAGTTCACCGATGGATGAGTGACACGTGTATTTGGAGTTATTTTATGGGAGAATTATCAAAAAAGTCTTAACCTATTGCAATTGTTCCAATTCAGTCATAAACGTTTCTTTTTTCCAATTGAGTACTAATCCTTTTCCATTTGTGTCAATTCAGTCTATTCGGGCAATTTTGGCTGGAAATCGCTGACATGGACGCCGGCCGTCCTACATGGCGCGGCCGACACTGGATGAGGTGACAGCGAGGACGACCTTGTTGGCTAGAGGAAGATAAAAAGAAAAAAAAAAGAAAGAGAAAGAAAAGAGAAAAAAGGAAAAAAAAATGAAAATCTTGAAAAATATTTTACAAATTGTCCACGTCAACGCCGACTGCGCCAAGTAAGACGGCTGTCGTTCATATCAGCGATTTTCGGCTAAAATTGGTCAGATTGACTGAATCGGCGCATATGCAAAATATTTAGAACTTAATTGGCAAAAAATGTTTAAGACTAGATTGGCACAATTGCAATAGATTTATAATTTTTTTGATAATTTTCTCATCATTTTATGACCCAATCGCTTCACGTGTCAACAATTTAACGGGAATGTATAAATTATTTATTGCATCGACAATGGACCTAATAAAAATCCATAAATAAGACACCGTATATATTTTGTCCCGAAGAGTAAAAAATATACTCCAATCCCTTCTGTTTCTTATATGCTAGAGTTGCCGGTTTTGTCCAAAATGTTGAGTGAGTGGTTAAGTACTTGGTTCGGACCCAGCAGATTCTATATTCAAATCAATGAGTCATTCATATTGACCTTAATGGCCACGTCCGCCACCTTGCGGATGAAACCTTATCCAATACACTTGGATATTATAATGTGCATGTATGTATAGAGATTAATTGAGCTGTGAAATTTGGATACCCTAGTTATAAAAAAAAAAAGAATAAGTCTAAGGGGGTAGATGGCTTATTAGACGACTTAACTTGGATGCGATAAATCTTGTATTCGAATAACATCTCTCACTTAAAGTACTTTGGGCGGCCATGGTCTTTGCCCTATGAGTAGAGCCTTACTTGATACACATAAATGAGGCTGCTTGCATGTATTCATGTGAACTGGTCAATTTGAAGAAAAAAAAATGATACCTCATGTAGTAGTTATGTGACATGTTAATGACGTGGAGAGACAAATCAATCAGAGTTCAGTCATTTGTCACGTGGGTGTTAGAATCAGTCGATTACGTCACGTCAATCATTCAATGGTAACCTAAAATACTTTCTCGAGTAAAATGGTTAGGATGTCCCATGCCATGAGAAAAACAAACATCGAGCCTTCTATGTTATTAATATATGCTTTCATTGTGTCATACGTGATTATATTTGTTGATAATGAAAGCGGAAGGAGGATGCCGCAGATTGCATTTATTGTATTGTACAGATGATGGCCACAAGACACCTAAATTTGACGTGACGTGAAGTAGTTGCAACGGGATTTTTTTGGGGGGGTAAAGCGGGTTATATGATGTACATGCCAATTTTCGTGTGCATCGACCGGTCCACCCCATGCGATCTTAAGAGTACATTCTTCCACATGGATCTAATGCATTCGTGATTTTACTCTCGGAATGGTTCTAACAAAACTTGAACAAAGAATCATAAGGAGAGAAGTAAACTCCGTCGGTGTTGCAAAAGGAATCGGCAACATAGGAAAAATTGCTGTGTCAATCACAGATTTCCATGTACGCTGTAGTCGCTGTCCCAGCCACTCAAGCCTTATCAATCCAATTCAACACGTCCCACCAATTCCAGCATTGTTTTCTGAACGAGCAATTACGACCCTCTTAAACTCCTCCATCCACTCCCCTCGGTCCCGAATCATCCGTACTTGGAGTCGGGTCGCTTTCTTTAATTTTACAGTCTCGTGGTCACCTTAAGACGTTAGGTAAAGCCCGATCTTACAAAAAACATGAGCTCACCAGACGATGCGATAAGCTCTAAACGGGGCCATCGGAAGCCACATCCCGACGCCCGATGCACGACAAACAAGGCCAAACCTCATCCGTTTCCGAATCGATTCACAAATCCATCTCGACCGAAAGAAACTACTCGATCACTGTACGGGCCCAGAGATGCAGAACAGCAAGATATGAGCAAAGTGTAGAACAAGGAGGAGGCACTCAGATGACATTATAATAATCAAATAATTGTAGAATGTGAGGGCCAATCTTCATATCATACACAGCAACATCAGATCAGCAACATAATAATAAATCAAATGTGAAAATGGCCAACGTCTCTAGAGAACCAATCCAAGCGCAGCCCATCCCAGCGCCAACCCCGACGCCAACGCCTTCACGCTCCTCGCAGTTTCTGCTCCACTCTGCCATGCCATACCATACCATACCATACCATACCATACGGTCCAAATTCCAAAAAATTAGTGTCGTGTGAAAGTGGGTATATTTCGACCAAAAAAAGAAAAGAAAATGGGTATATCGAAATACAGAAATATGGGAGAAAAAATATATTTTTCAGGGATTTTATCGCAAATTTTTTTTTTAAAAAAAAGGGTTGAAAATATGGTTCGGACAAGTGCCGACTGCTGTCATCGTGCTTCTGATGAAAAAGACGAAAGTTTCAGCGTCGGCACGAAGCACAAGAAGCCAGTTCACCTCCGTCCTTTTAGATTCCAACCATAATTGGAAACCGACACATCAGGGTAAAAATTATTTTGACATAATTATGGTTATTTGTGATGCGTGTTATTAATATTTGAAAAATGGAATATATAATAATAAGATATGCTAAATCAGTTTTCCGAAAATATTGGGGAACGAGATTTTTTTATTTCGAATTTCATGATCAAGTGATATGGAAATAATTAAGAAAATTTGGTAATTCTGCATATTTTATCATTTTTTTAAGTTACATTGTGATAAATGTTTCGAAAATTTAACTAATTTATATTAAACATGTCTAATAATTGAAGGCAATCGTGCACATTATCTAGACTGCGTAGATCAAGCCTAGCAAATGACACTTCGCAAAGACCTACAGTATTCCAAGAAAAATTTCTATTTCTGCCTTGATAATCGCTATATAACTTTACTGTTCGTAAAATAATTTTTACAAAATGCCTCTTGCGAATATGCACGCTAATGTAATGCCTAGATATGTTGGCCTAAGAATTTCCAAACATTAATTTGTAAACGATTTCTAATATCGATAGATGGAACGATTTTAATTACGAAATTGCTTGCAGAATGCGGCAACTCAAATATTTCTTACATAAATAGGCCCTAACAAGAAGCTGTCAACGCTATATATTCCATAAATTAATTAATTAATGGCAAAGATCTAATTAGTGGCAACAAAACTTATAATATGCATAAAATCATTAAAAAAAAATAAAGGAATAGGAAAATTTAGCAGGAAAAAAAGACCTCAAAATAGAAACAGAGAAGTGAACAGTACGAGCGCTACACGAGAACGGCAAGATCGTTACCTTATCGGGCAATGACGGTGCCGGGCCGGACGCGTCGGGGCTCATCCCGGGGGCTTCCGCCGGCGGCGCGGGCGGACTGAGCAATGCCGGCGCCGGAGCGGGCGAGACGTGCTTCTTGGGCTTCTTCTTGCTCGGAGCCGGTGCGGGAACCTCCACAGGGGCCGGAGGAGAGCTCTCCGGAGCCGGAGGAGAGCTCTCCGGAGCCGGAGGAGAGCTTTCCGGAGCAGCCGTCGGCGAGGACGCGGCCGGCGATATGACCGGAGAAGGCAATGGCGGGGAGCTGACCGGCGCAGCAGCCGGAGGAGAGCTAGCCGGAGCTTCCACCGTCGGCGGGGAAGCCGGGGTGGCGACGGGAGCCGGCGCCGCGGCGACCTTCTTCGGGGAGGGAGCAGCCGCCGTCGGAGTTGAAGCCGGCGGCGAAGCCACGGGGGCGGGCGACGTGGCCTTCACGGGCGACTTAGCCGCTGGGGCCGAGACCGGCGCCGCCGCGGGCGCGGGCGACGTGGCCTTCGCAGGCGACTTAGCCGGCGGGGCGGAGACCGGCGCGGCCGCGGGCGCGGGGGTCGCCGGAGACTTCGTCGGTGCCGACGCCGGAGACTGGCCACCGACGCCGGCGAGGACGACGCAGAGCAAGGCGAGTGTGATAACGCTTTTCTGATCCATTGCTTGAGAGAGAGAGAGAGAGAGAGGGATGAGATGGGAGTGAGAGAGTGTGTTTGGTTACAGAGCATAAATAGGCCGAAAGCGGTGATTTGATGGGCAAGTGAAATCTGGGCCGTTGGTGGGGGCGTGTGGGGCCCAAATGCGTGTGGGGCCGATCGCAGCCGTTGGATCGAAGAGGGGCAAGAAGGTTCCAATAAATTAGAGGGGGCCCCGCAACGGGACAAAATTTTGAGAGGGCAAAAAATGGGGCGGGCGGGCGGGCGACACGGTCTGGCCGGGGCCCACTCGGCGTAGGAGGTGCATGTGATGTCGGGTGGCTAATTGACACAAATATGTATGTATGTACGTCGTGCAATTAAAAAAATGACTAATAAATCTATTTTTCTTAAAATTAACACCACGAAAATCTTCAATGACTAATAAATTTATTTTTTTGGGTTAATACAACGAAAAATCTCAAACTGGTACGACAAATTTACTTCCAAATTAATTTTTTGACCACTAAAAACCCTAATATGATATACTTGTGATAATTATACCCTCCGTTAAACTGGATCAATGCCATGAAAACCATAAACTAATAAACCCGTTACAAATAAAGGGGTAAAATCCTAAACTGGTACACCCATTAACAATCATGTATCATCAAACTCAGCAATTGACTGCAAAATTTAATGAAAACTAACAAAGGGTAAATTTGTCGTACCAGTTTGGGGGTTTTGGTGATCAAAAAGTTAGTTTTGAATAAATTTATCATAAGTGTACTAGTTTGAGGTTTTTTGTAGTATTAACCATTTTTCTTATTAGATGGCTAATAAATCTTGTCATAAAATATCGATTGGCGAAAATTTTCTAGCCCTGTTAATGCAATGGTCCAAGGCTCCTATGATATTTCGCAATGTGGATCATAGGACTGCTTGATTTTTTCTGTAATTTATTCAACGAAGAATTATCATCGACGAAGATGATACATTGCTCGATGGAGAATAAAGATGTCACCCGATCGTTTTTGCCAAACGAGTTTGCCTTCTCAGCAACGAGCATTTTTGCAATCTCACTTGATGTATAAGAAAATGGAGATGGTGATACTTTTTGACATGATAAAAGAACATGTCTCTATAAGGTGTTTCCTTCTTTCTAAAGAGAACAAGCCATAAAAGGCCCTAAATTATGGTTGTGACATATTTAGCCTTAACCTTTAATTGTGAAATAAAAAACTCTAAAGTTATACTCGCGTGACACATGTACCTTCTGTCAAGATTCTGTCAGATAATTGTTCGGTTAAAACGATGTCTTTTTTATTTCGCTTAAATCATGTGGGTGCTATATCAACACCGTTTGTCCTCTCTCGTCTATGTAGGCAGATTTTTTAACGGTGTCAATTGATAGATCCATAAAAGAGAGTAAATGTGTAGCACAAGTACAAGTTTAGAATTTTTGATGTCACAATAAAAAAAATTTATGACAAATATGTCATAATAAACATAATTTGGAATTTTTTTTTATGATTTTGTCTCTTTTCTAAAAGGTGTTTCCTTCTTTTGATTTACTTTATAGCAATAGATGGTTATTTCTTGCTTTACTCGCTGTGCATTTTCATCATCATTCACACGCGCGACTTTTTCTTTTCCACGGTCGATGCTTCCATTGTCTTACTTTAAATTTGCCCTAACGGAAAGTTAAGCTTCAATCTCACAACACAGTATGATGGATCTCGGCCTGGCACAGTCACCATTCATAAGTAATCGGTTTTCGAAACTCAAGGGACAGCGATCGAAATCGAAAGATACCATTCAGTTTGCTCATACATCAAAGCGATAATGGCATAAATAGTCTCTGAACTTTGATTAAATGTGCAATTTGGTCCTTGAACTTTAGTCATTGAACATTTTTATATAGTTCGGGGACTAAATTGAATATGTACCACAAGTCCAGAGACCACATTGAACAAATTAAAAGTTCAAGGACCACATTGAATATTAGGCTAAAGTTCAAGGACTATATTGAATAAATTAAAAGTTTATGGAATAAATTGCATATTTGGCTAATGTTCAGGGACTGTTTGTGTTATTTTCCCTACATCAAATGACCGAATTTGAGAGGTGATGTTAAAGAACTAATGCAATGCCGTCGATCGCTTGTACTAACCCTATATGATGAGCTTATAAGGGACGCTAGGGCAAGTATCTGACTAGATGGTGCTTGTTCAACAGGATGACCTTGCGTTTCTTACTTTGGTTTCCCATCTTCAACGAGAAGGAAAAGGAATGATTTGGTGAACGGCGTCCCACGGGAGCAATCAATCTCCTACTTTAGCTGTGGGGGAGACTTGATTTGCGTGTTAGCGCTAGCTTTTTCGTATGTGCTGGCAGTTTTGATTTGTTCCTTTTGGCGTAATAGGGACATTTGATACAGCTGGTGCCTTTTCTGGCGGGGCCTCTCGGCCATAAAAGCTACGAGATCACGGTGGTGGTGGTGGTGATGATGATTTTGGAATTTAGCTTAATCGTGGGTCGCGCGGCTAGACTTTATTGAACATCATGCTCTCTCTCTCGGCACCGCCACATCCTGACCTGTTCAAGTGCAAAAAATATAACAGGAAAGAGAGAACCCTAGTTCTATTAGGAAACGATGATTGGTTTAGGTGGGGGGCGCTAGGTTCTGGCTCCTCTGAAAGTACCTAGCGCTCCTCGTGTTTAGCCCGGTAAATTTCACGGATCGAGATGGCACGAACCCTGCGGATTCGCGACATGGATGGATTACCGTCTCTTTTGACTCTGTTTCGCACTCTCGCTCGGAGTACAATCCAAGAACCGGACCGTGCCTGTATATTGCAACCTAAGAGGCCTGTGATTTTGCGTAGAAACGGTGGAAGCAACAATCTCCGACAGCTTTTCTCTCCACCCTTGCAGGTGTTGATGGTTTAGAGTTCGAGAAGAAATAACAACAAAGTGTTAATGGTAGCTCAATCCCAATTAGGGTGGTATGATATGTATTTATAAGAGTGATTAAGTACAGTCGGGGTACAAATAAAAACATAATTACGGAAAGACCCCATAATACATATAAATTACATGTTAATAGCAAGTAATATCTGCATTTTCAACATGGGTGGAAAATTATGTCATTTTGGGGTAAATGTGCAGTAGAGGATCGATCCATATCCTTTTATTCACTCGTACATATGAGATTAACTTTATTTTAATTCCTTCACCGTGTGTTGGAGTCGCATGTTCCTTGGGTGGTGGTGGCTTTTGTTTGGAATTCTTTCAAATCCTCGGGGATCTAATCCCCACCAATCGATAGTATTGGATCAAAGAAAGAGTAAACTTCTGTGTTGTGTATCTCCATATATTGTATAGAAGTTACGTTGAAATGCACCTAAATGATCGACTTATATATGTTGCGGTGTGGTTCATACTCTCCATCGACAGAAAGGCACGGGGGTCGAGGGGGTTGTAGGAAGCAGTGCTGCTGGCCACCAAAGAGCTTTTATAGTTTTGATTAATATTTTATTAATAGTTTGGACTTCAGCCCATGAATAGCTACTGAGTGATCTCGGGCTTTCTCGGCTAATTAAATATGTCCACGTCTATACGAATGGTGAGGGGGAGTTATAAAATAATTAAGCCAAGCCTTCAATTAATAGATTAAGCTTTTAGAATAGTTGGCACTGATCCCACAAAATCTTACTTGATATCAGAGCAGAAGGTCCCAAGTTCGAATCTTTTTAGGCCTCATTTGCCTCCCCAATTAAATATGTCTACTCTTAGTACTGGTCAAAAAGACTAGATTTAGCTTATAATGTTATCCTAAGTTTGAATGATAGGAATAAATGATCTATATTGGGATTGTTAACAGTTTGACATTATATGGTGTCAATAGTGGGACTACTACCTATTCTTGTGATATCAATGACATTCGTTACTTAATGTTGGCACCAAAAAATGATCAAATCTTTTAAAAACAACAGGATGTTGATACGAGTCAGTGTTGTGGGTATATAATTGATGAGTTATTGATAGCGGAGACGCTAGTCGACGACCTTGTCTCGATGACCGTGATACTGGTTGGCATACAATGGCTATTGGTCAATGATCGACACTTAACAAATTTAGGTGAATGTTGAACATAAAAACTAAAGACAATGAAGATGTCATGGTGAAATGCCTATTGACAGTTATATCCATTGTCAATTGGGGAGTTGTAACCTGTTGTCATGGAGCCTATAAGTTGTGAAAGTATGGTTACAACCATGGTGAGGATACCGATTGACAGTTATATTCGACGATAATTGAGGAGTTATAACTGCTTGTAGATAAAGTCAATGTGCAATCATGCAGCCTAAAGTCGCAGAGATGCGTTTATAAATGTTAATTTGAATACCGACCGCTTATATGTAGTTACACTTTATAGTAGACTATATAAAGCTATATTAAAGTGTTATAAAAGGATTCATGATAATCAACAAAAACACTTACGTAGTTCTTCAGTTTATCAATATATCTTTCCAGTACTTGCATTTATTTTCCTTTAGTTTAAATTAGTTCTTGTTACACGATCCACTTCTTGTCCTAACTGCCACTGAACCCGATTCAATAAAAACCAAAGATAAACCTTTGGTGAAAGGTATTTCGCTACGTGGGTCAATTTCCGGCGAAACACTAACAAGAACAGAAATCTAGTCTCCTTTACACATGCATCATATAATTATTATGCTTTCAGGAGAATCTTGTCAGCTATAGCTATAACTTGAGTTAACTTTTGCTCAAGAATTGATGTTCTATGAACTAGGGGATAATAGTAGAATTAAATTCAATACATTTGGGAGATCTAATGTTCTTGATATACTTTATTAAGGGTGCGCATGACAATGTTTCTATGCCGGGGAACTATTTCTACTCAGAAATGGTTCTTTTTTATTCTGTGCTCGGAAACAATTTCTAAGCATTTGAAGGCGTTTGGTAACTGTCCAAAATTTCTATTCCTGGGATAAAAAAGAACAGAAATACTTTTGGTAACTACACAAAATTTCTTTTTAT